TCAATACAACAATATTAGCAATCAAAACTAAAACCAGAAACTCCATTTGAACCAGCTATTCTCCACCTAGGCATCTTCGTGAAAGAGTTAAAAGCACTGTATGACAGTGATCTGTGCACACCCATGATTATAGTAATACAACTCATAATAGCTACATCTTGCAACAGATGAATGAATATAGAAAATGTGGTGTTTATACATAGTGGAATGCTACTCTGCCATAAAGAAGGATACATCAGTCATCTGTAGGAAAATGGATGCACTTGGAGACCATAGTCTTAATTGAAATAAATAAGACACACAAGCTCCAGTATGGTGTGGCTTCTCCTAAATGAGAAACCCCAAAAATAAAGTGCAAACAAAAGATAAATAGGAAGTGGGAAGTAGATCTTTCTCAAATGTGAAGGTGATCAAGAGAGTGAGGGGAAGGAGATGAAAAAAGAGGGTTCAGGTGTGTTATGCACACAAAGAAAGGAAACATTATGTACGGCAAACATGTACTGATAAAAACGTTAAACGTTAGTAACCAGCAGAGCTGAAATTTATTCCCAAGATAAATAATTTTAAATCTCATTCTTTACAAGAGATCAGCAACTTTTCCATACAGAAAATAGACCAAAGTCCTTCTTCAGATTTTCTGTTAAACTATCAGTTATAAGAACTGACGGCTGCATTTCCTTAAAGAATAGGAAATGCGAATCGTGTCCTTGAACTCCAAAGGTCATGCAACATAAATATCCGTTTTGCTAACTTTGGTTCGTTTCGGTCCTTGAAGTAGTCACCAAATCTCTTTGACATGCTGACCCATCACAGACCACCCCATGGAACAGAGAGAACCCTGTGCAGAGGAGTGCTCCACATTATTTTGCAGTTTGGGAGGCAGCACTAAGCCAGGTAGGGCCTGGAGGGCTTGGGGTAGAGAAGGTTGCGTTCATCAAAAGCCAGTCACAGCCTCCGCCCCAGTTCCGGGACCAGGCCGGTGGGGATCTGGGTCGGAGGGCTCCCTCTGCAGCAATGGCCAAACACGAGCCCCAGAGCACTGACCCAGAAGACTCCACCTGCCTATCGGCCTGGGGACCCGCTCCAGAAAATGCAGCTTCAAGAAGGCGTCCATCCAAGTTTGAGTGGTTGTTCTGAGTAGTAAGACTTGACCTAAAACATCTGTAGCTTCTCTGTATTTTCTTCCACAATAAATATAAATGTAGTTTGCTTTTAAATTTTGTACATTAAATTATCCATAGATCCTTAGAGATTTGCCAGAAAAAATCAGTTATTCCATAAAGCATCATCGACAACATCCTGGTGTCCTCATTTCACTGATAAGAAAATCCCAGCAGGGCCGGGAATTTAGCTCAGTGGCTCCGCTGCCTGCCTCGAAAACCCAAGTACTCGAGTTTGATCCTCGGTACCAAAAAAAAAAAAAAAAAAGAAAACAAAAAAAAGAAAATCCCAACAAAAAGATGTTCCTGAAAAACAACCTGTACCACCAGTCCTTACCAGCTATGAAAATCAGAACAGAAAGTATTTCCACAGTATATATCCTGCTTCTTAATAGCTGGAATTAGGATTTATTTCTATCTAAATGCTACATTATCTAAGATCTATAAATACAAAGTTTGCAAACAGTGTAATACCTCAGGGAATATTTATCTGCTGGGGAGGCTTCCAGGAGCCAGTTTTGCCCGCTAGTGTGAATAAACTTTTACCTCCTCGGGGCACAATTACACCTGTGTTTCGGCACCACAGGGCTCGGAGTTTCTGTAGAAGGCTGTGAAGATTAGATCATTGTTTTGAATTGATTCCTGGGAGACTATTCCTAAAATAAGGCCATCGTTTAGGTCATCTTTGATATTTAATTAAGTACATTGTGATGAAATCAGTAATTTCTTCAAAGTTCACTGGATTAGATTTGTCCTTTGAAAAGGAATATAGAGATACATCTTTTAGTGTTCATTTTTTACTAGTGCATGTTTGCAGTGCATACTGACCACATTCCTCCCGGGGAGTGGGAATGAGTACATAACACATCTTCGTTCTTTTCCCACCCCCTTCCCCTCCTCTCTCTCTCCCCTCTTTCCACCTTTTGGTCCCCTGATCATTTGTAAAAGACCCATCTCCCACTTCCCTAATATCTATCTTTTTTTCCCTGGTACCAGGGATTGAACTCGGAACCTTATGCTTTCCAGGTAGGTGCTTTGCCAATGAGCTACATCCCCGGCCTCCCTAGTATCTATCTTTTATTTTGCTCTTTAATTTATTTATATTTTAGGCTTCTTGTATAAGAGGAACCATGTGGTTTTTAAGCTCGTGTGTCTGGTTAAGGGGTATCTGCCGCTGACCCATGGCCTTCAGCAGTCTGTGGGACAAGTAGAACTCAAGGACCAAAACTGGGCATCTCCAAGGGAACGTGTTGTCAAGTGAGACCTAACAGCTCCAGGAGGGGCTCTCACCTTGGTCTTGAATTCTGGGGAACTCGAGAAACATGGCGAACTTTCAGTACTTCTCTTCAGATGGATGCCTGGTCCGTTTGTAGTTTAAACTTGAACTGAGCCCTGTGCTGTGCAATCTTGCTGTGAATTGAATGGTGGCACACAGGAGGCTGAGACAGGAGGATCTCTGCAAGTTCAAGGCCACCCTGGGCTACACAGTGTGTTCAAGCCCAGCCTGAACTGCATAGTGCGACCCTGTCTCAAAAAAACAAAACTGAACTAAACTAAAGGTGACGCCATTCCTCTGAGTGACTTATCCTAAGTGGTGTCTCGGGCAGAAACCAGGTTTGAGGAAGGGTCAGAAGCCCAAGGCCTGGCACCAGAGCTGCTGCGCCCTGTGAGCCTGGGAGGAGGCCTCAGGAGACCCAGGGGACCACCTTCCCCCTGCACCACAGCTCCTGGGCAAGCACCATCCTTGTGAAATCTGTGGAGATGATGAGCCAGCAGGCTAGACCTGCGCACTCCCCTCCCTCGGTGATGTGGGGCGCATTCCAAGGAATCCACTGGATGCTACATGGGTTAATCCGATCCAATTCCCAAATCCAGAGAAAGACAGTTGGTCTGGGTGGGTGTGGTCCGTGGAAATTCAGCCTGAAGACTTTTGGAAGCATGGTTCGTGACCCTAGCAGGAGGACCAAGAAAGTAAGCCCAACAGTGATGCTCAGGAAGGATTCTCTGCTCTGTCCACCCACCCCTAGCACGGTCAGGAAGCCGAAGCGAAGACCCTGCTCCTACATCTCGGGGTCTGGCAGTGCACGCAGTGGGTGAGCAGGAACCGGCCCGCAGTGCAAGGCTCAGGACACTTCCAGTACCTGTGGAGGCCCGCAAGCAGAGGCCAGCCAGCCGGACCCTCCCTGTGGGAGGCTCTGCAGCTGGAGAGCCACGGTCTTTTCCGTATCCTGGCTTGGGCCAACATCCTTTCCTTCCCATCTCAACAGAGTCTGTGCTCCCCGGGACCCCAACAGAAGCCCCCACACATTTACTGCCCATTTCTGTGCTTTTCAGAAGACAAAAAAAAAAAACAAGGATTTTTCACGTGCAAGTTCTTTTTCCAAGGTGGCTCCTTTGCCAAAGTAGAAAGGGCTTGGTGGGAAAGCAAACCGGAGAATGTGCGGGCGGGACAGGCGGGCTCAGCCAGGTTCCCGCTGCCTAGCCGGCTTTCCTGAGCCACCCGTTTTGTCCATTGTGGGCCAGCGTAATCAGGTCATAACTGTGTGCAAGTTAGTAGTACAAGAAGAATGCTGGTGGCGTGCGTGTGTTTTCAGGAAGAGCTCTCTGCTGTTGTCACAGGGACATGTCCCTGGGCCAGAGAGGCTGAGGGCACGAACGTGTCCGGAGAAACAAATGACCCACACGAAAGGAAACATCTTTCTGTTTCTTTTGGTATGGTGATTGGAGCAGTTTGTTTTAAAAATATTTTTAGCAGATGCATCACTGATTTGAAGGCATATTTTTAAGTACAAAACCTAGGTACCAGTCCAAGATGGGCCGGGTGCAGTAGAAAGGGGAGAAACCGATAAATGATCACAGCTTCCAGACGCCAGCAGAGCTCCACGGGGAGCAGGTGGGGCCTGTGAGCTGGCCTTGAGGCTCCTCGTGTGAAGGTTGTTTAGAAACCAGGCAGAGTAGCATTGTCTGTCATCCAGCACTGTGTAGGCTGAGACAGGCAGGTCGTGAGTTTGAGCCCAGTCCAGGCGACGTAGCAGCCACCAAAACCTTGTGTCAAAAGGAAAAAAGGTTTCAAAGTCGGAGATGCAGCTCAGTGCAAAAGCCCGGGGTTTAATCCTCAGTACCACTGATAACAAAATAATACTGCTACTAATAATGTTTGCAATTGTGTAGGCCCTGTGCATCTCCTCCTCCTCCTCCTCCTCTTCCCCTTCCTGTCCCTCTCCTCCCTCTCCCTCTTCTTCTTCTTCTTTTTCTCCTCCTTCTTCCTCTACCCCTTCCTCTTCCTCTTCTTTTTTATTTTACCATTTTGTAGCCCAGGCTGGCCTGGAACTCACGGCGATCATCCTGCCTCAGCCTCCTGAGTGCTGGGATTACAAGTGTGCGCCCCACATCCGTGTATTTTCTGGTAGACTGTTTTTCTGGCTCCCAGATGTACGACTGCTTCTAAGTGCCTAGAAATGTTAGGAACACTAGGAGAGTGCAAATTTCACAAAATGAAGATACCTATTCATGTTTTCTGAAAAATCTTTGTGTTAAGCTCTTTTATTCTTCACTTAGCTAAGAAGCTTGGTTTTATCTTTGAGGATGAATTTGAGAGTTTTAGTACCAAAGAAGATTCTCACTGGCATGGGAAATGGCAACACTGGGATGAGCAGAGACGGAAGGAAGGAAGGAGCTCCCCTAGTTTGGGGCCGGCTGTGGAGGTGGAAGTGACCCAGCTTTTCAGTGAGCTTTGCGGCGACCGGACAGGGTGCTTGGGACGAGCGCTAGGCAACAGCGACACGGGCGGCGTCCCCGGGACCGCGAGCTCGCTCACGCGAGGGCCTTTCTCTCTCACAGGGCCTCTACGTCTTCGTGGTGTATTTCGTTCTGCACAACCAGACGTGCTGCCCAATGAAGGCCAGCTACGCCGTGGAGATGAACGCCCACCAGGGCCCTGGCTCCGCCTTCTTCACACCCGGCAGCGGGATGCCGGCTTCAGGGGAGGAGGTCAGCAAGTCCACGCAGAACCTCATCAGCGCCGTGGAGGAGGTGGGCCTGCCCTCCTTGCCCCGGTCCTGTCCTCCGTGCCCCGGTCCTGTCCCCTGGTCCTGCCCGCTCTCAGCCTTTCCGTCTCACAAGGAGGATTCTGCATGTGATCCCAGACGAGCCTCACGCCCTTTCTCTCTGCTCCGTGATCCTTTTGGGGGTGGCAGGTGTCTTACCTTTTTTTCCAGAACTGTATTTTGTTTTTATTGGTACATGTTTGCAGTCCTTGATTACGGTCTGTGGATTAGAGCATTGTTTTGAATTAATGCACGGGAGAATGTTTCTAAAACAAGGCCTTCGTGGAGTCATCTTTGATATTTAATCACATACATTATGATGAAGTCAGTCAGTTCTTAAAAGTTTTTTCGATTAGATTTTTCCATTTAAAAGCAATATAAAAGATATGTCTTTTTTGTTTGTGTTTGATTTTTGTTTTTTGAGACAAGATCTCATTATGTATCCCATCCTGACCTTGAACTCATGGTGATCCTCCTGCCTCAGCCTCCTGAGTGCTGGGATTACAAGCATGTGCTGCCACACCTGGTCTTTTTTAATGTTTATTTTTCTTTTGGTACTGGGGATCGAACTCAGGACCTTGCCCTTTCAAGGCAGGCGGTGGAACCACTGAGCTAAATCCCCGGCCCTTTAATGTTTACTTTTATCAGTATATGTGTTCAGTGATCCCATTCCTCATGGGGAGTTGGTCACATCTTCTTTCCTTCTTCTCCCCTCCCACCCCCTCCTCTGTCTCTTTTGCAAAGGTCTACCCCTCTACTTCCTATCATCTATCTTTTATTTTGCTCTTTAATTTACTTATACTTTGGGCTTCTCCCGAAGACAGGCTGAGTGAGTCTGCCTCAGAAAGGGTTCTGCACACAGCAGTCCTCCCTGAAAGCCTTCCTTTGGGCCATGGGAGGAAGAAAGCAGCAAACGTGTTAGGACAGGAGCCAGGACCCACTGGGATTTCCAAGCCCATTCCCGTACCCCACTCTGCTGGTTTCCTGTGTGTGAATCACAGGCCTGGAGCAGGGCCACACCTGAGTCCACTGCCCAGGAAGGGACAGACCTGCACATCCCCAGGCCTCTGCCAACCTGAGCCATGCTTGGCTGTTCTTGTGTGCTGATGACTACAGAGTATGATCAAAAACACAGTGAAAGTTAAATTTAAAAGCAACTTATTGGGCCGGGGATTTAGCTCAGTGGTTCCGCTGCCTGCCTCACAAGCGCAAGTTCCCGAGTTCGATCCCCGGTACCAAACAAAAGTAACTTATTACAGTTTTTAAAAACCCTGCCATTAACCCCTGTCCAAACCCTGCCCTTGCTTTCAGCACTCTTAGCCCATCATTCTTGCTGCTCTGCAGTGCTCCTTCCTGAGTGTCTTTAGTTGTGCTCTCCTGGCTGCCTCGATCTCCTGAATTGATTCAGTCTGTTTGCCATTTATGATCATTCTGACTTGGGGAACAGCGGGGGCTGCAGGGTCGGATCTGCTGAGTGCGATGGATGAGGAGCCCATAATGCTGTTAAACCCGCGTTTCTGCGGGATGGCACCCAGCAGCAGCACTCGCCATACTTTTTATCAAAACTTGTCAAGACCCTCACAAAAGAGGACCCAGAGCCGCTTCAGAAAGTGGCGAGAAAGATGGGGAAAGTGTGTTCAATTTTGCAAGGGATTCACGACAATGTGTCTACTGCAATAAATCTTTCCAATGAAAGCATTTACCATATAGTGTTCACCCCCGGCACTTACAGATACCCACGCTATTTAAAATGTGACATTTTAGATTAACAGGAGCATTCTTCTCCCGTACTTAATTTTTTAACAGCATTCCCTTTGTGCACATTATACAAAAACTTTAAACGTATTTATTGGATTAAAAGCTGGCTGTCTTTCTCCACACACGCCAGCCTAGACATCCACATGGTATTCGAACACAGAAAGTACTTAAAATCACCAGAATGGATTGGCCAAAGGAGGGATATCGTTTCCTAAGGGGAAAAGAGAAACTTGTAGTTCTCGATTTTAAGAACTCCGCAGCTGGGCGGCCATTCTCTGGTCTTGGTCAGGCCCCGAGGAAGGAAGTGACTGAGCCCACTCACGCCCCGCCCTCTCCCTGCGCCCCTGCAAAGGTGCCGGCCGACTGGGAGCGCGCGTCCTTCCAGCAGGCCCGCCCGGCCAGCCCGGACCTGAAGACCGGCCCGAAGAAGGGCGCCGCCTCCTCCTCCGTCAGAGGCTTCAGCCCGGGCTCTCTGGTCGCAGAGGAGGAGGAGTCCCAGGAGTTCGACGACCTGATATTCGCGCTGAAGACCGGTAAGTCCCCCCACCTCCTTCCAGGAGCGGCACAATCTCTTCTCACAGGTCCTGATCCTCATCCCAGCCGGACTCGAGGATCCTGTGTTCTTGGCACCAAATGGAACACAACCTAAAAATACTTTTCAGTTTGATTTTAAGAAAGCAATGGGCGTACTGTGACTCGATGTCCACGTCTCTGTCCAGGAATCTTGCTAGAACACAAGCTATATAGAGGAAAGTTGGGCGGAAGACTTTTGCCTCTACACTGTCAAAGAAACCTTTTGTTTTGGGTTGGTTTGGGGGGTTTTTGTTGTTGGGTTTTTTGGTGGGTTTTTTTGGTACCAGGGATCGAACTTGGGACCTTACGCTTGCTTGCGCAGCAGGCGGCGAAACCACTGAGCTAAATCCGCGGCAAAACCTTCTTGGTTTTGAGACAGTCTTCCTATGTAGTTCAGGCTGGCCTTGAACTCACTGTGTAGCCCAGGGCATGATCCTCCTGGCTCAGCCTACCAGGTGCTGGGGTTTCAGGCATGCCCCACCCGCTGGCTAAGTTGAGTCTTAAGGACTACGTCAGCTTTAATAGGCCGGGCATGGAGGAGTGGCTTTACGAATGGAGCAAGTAGGACTGGCCAAAGCCTGAAGGCTTCTGTGTGTGCCCAGAGAGCTGGGGAGCGGCAGAAGGCCTGACCTGAAGCAGAGTAACCGAAGGGCTCACGGGTCAGGTTCCAGCATACCTCGGGAGCCAGTCATAGCCGAGCCAGTCATAGCCCGGCCTCCGTGGGAGGATCCCCTGGACACATGGATTTCGGTATTTTGGGTACCAGGGATCGAACTCAGGTCCTTGTGCTTGCGCAGCAGGCAGCGAAACCACTGAGCTAAATCCCTGGCTCAAGGGAACTCTTTTTATGTTTTTGTTTTTGTTTTCTTTGGTACCAGGGATTGAACTCTGGTCCTTACGCTTGCACAGTAGGTGGTGAAACCACTGCGCTAAATCCCTGGCCTATTTGGGTATTTTTTAATAAATGTTATTTTATTTTATCCCATTCCCCCCCCCAGCCCCCTCCCCTCCCTATGTACAAAAGCTTTGTTTCTATTTTTTCTATTTTCATTTTTTTTCTTGTCCCTTCCTTTTTCCCTGCCCTCTCCCTTGTTCCCCTTCCCATTTGAACACTTTCTTCCCATTTCCCAACATCCATTATACATCTCAGTCCTTATTTCCACTTTCAGTTTCTCACACCAGAGAAACAATGCAGTATTTGGTCAATCTTTTTTTTTTTTTTTTTTTTTTGGTACCAGGGATCTAACTTGGGACCTGGCAAGGCGGGCACTGGAACCACTGAGCTAAATCCCCAGCAACAATGCACTATTTAAACATGTGTGCCCGATTTATTTCACTTAAGAATATGGTCTCAGGGCCCATCCATTTAGCTATGAATGTCTGAAGCTCATCCTTCTTTATGGCACAGTAGTACTCCACTGTATAAAAAAACCCACATCTTCTTTATCCACTCATCAGTTGATGGGCATTTGGGCTGTTTCCAAGCTTTAGCTATTACCACACTGTGCTGCTATAAACATGGGTGAGCATATATTGCTGTGGTATGATTCTTTTAATTCTTCCAGGAAGATACCAGCTGAGTTAAATAGAGCCTCTAGTTTAAGTTTTTTAAGGAATCCACACTGATTTCCACAGTGGCTGCACCAGTCTGCACTCCCGCCAACAGTGGAGAAGGGTTCCTTTTTCCCCACACCCCCGCCAGCATTTGTTCTTGGATCATTTCTTGATAGAAGCCATTCTTTCTGGAGTGAGACTGAATCTCAGTGTTGCTTTAATTTCCATTTCATGAATGACCAGTGATGTTGAACAGTTTTTCATATATTTGTCGATTACTTTTTTTTTTTCCTTTGGTACCAGGGATCGGATTCAGGACCTTGTGCTTTCACGGCAGGCAGCAGAACCACTGAGCCAAATACCCAGCCCCTACTTTTTCATATATTTATTTGTCATTTCTAATTCTTCCTCTGAGAAGTGTCTTTTTATTTCAGATGCCCATTTTTGCACTGGGTCTTTAAATTTGAGGGGTCTGATTTTTTGAGTTCTTTATATATTCTAGATAATAGTCCTTTATCAGAATAGCTGGTAAAAAATTTTTCCACTCTCTGGGTTGTCTCTTCACTCTGTTTGTTGGTGGTTTCTCTTGCTGTGTCCACATATATTTGGGCAACTGCAGAGATTTACAATACACATTACTGTTTCATTAACTCTAAAACTTCCTAGAGCCTGCTGTGGTAGCATTCACTGGTCATCCAAGCACTGAGGAGGCTGAGGGAGGAGGACCTCTGCAAGTTCAAAGCCCAGTCTGGGCTCCATAGACCCTGTGTCAAAAAACCAAAAAATTCCTAGAGCATAGAAACCCATTTAATTGACCTTGTTGTCCCTCAAGCACAAGCAGTGAGCAAGTCATTTTGGGGGAGCAGAGTATGAAATGCTGTTGAGCCCTTACAGCGAGGACTGGGATTTTCATAGTGTGCAGGGAGCCGTGGGGCTTTCAGAGGAGCAGCGTGACCTGGTCCCGGTGGTTCTGGAGTAAAGAAACTTTGTCTCTTTGTCTATGGCAGAAATGGGAGTTGCAGGCTCAATATTCAGGGCAGGACTCAGGCAGGGTCTCGGAGGCAACATCCTGGACGTCAGAGAGGAGATCCTGTCTGCAGCTTGGTCCGGGAGGTGGAAGGAGAGGTGTGGAAGGGACTGGAAGAAGAAGGAAAGAGGGAAGGAAACACCGGAAAGCAGCAGGACACGCTGAAGACTTGTCTTCCTCATTTTCCTCGTTGATTTTGGCTAGTGTTTCAGCCCATGGTCGGCCAGCTCCAAGAAAAGACAGCACTGCAGAGGGGCCGGGTGGAGCAGAGCTGCCCACCGTGGGGCGGCCAGGAAGCAGAGAGCACAGGGAGGAGCCAGGGAGGGAGATAAAGCCTTCAGGCCACGCCCCCATGGCCTTCTCTTCCAATCAGACCCTGCCTCCTTACACTCAGCTGTGAGCCCGCAGGCTTGGTCCACATTCCAAAGCCGGCCTCTGAGTGCATGAGGGTTTGAGGACATCTAGATATGAAGTAGGACGAGAGGATGGAAGAGCATCCCAGAGAAACCCCAGCAAGGTCAGAGCCAGGGAGAACTGAGATCGCGGGGGGCAGATGGTGTCCCCAGAACCACACTCGGTGTCCTGTGACACCAGAAGCATGAAGTGAATTCTTGGAGCGTAATTCAATTAGATCCCTGGGTTATATATGGAGCAAGTATTAGATGCATTTGCCTGGGGAATGCGTGGAATGACTTGCTTACTTATAGATTTAGTTGAGCATTCCTTAGGGTTGTCTGAACTCACCAGGAAATAAATATTTTCAAGGATCAAAATAACAATCTCAAACATCAGGTCTCTGTATTTTTAGAAAAGATACTAGAATAACCAAGCACACCTCCCAGACACGTCCCATCACAGAGTATGGCCACGTAAGAGCACTCCGTGTGCCATTCTGTGTGCAGGATTAACGACTGACCGCAGGCCACAGTCAGCCAATATTTTAAAGGTTCTTGACCCAATATTAAAAATTTAGAGCTATCCCATAAAAATCCAGAATTTCTGGGGGAATCCAGCAATGGAGCATTTGAAATCTGTACCACAGTGGGCGACTGGAGAGTCCTGGCTGCCCTGGGACCCGAGCACAGGTTGTCCATGTCCCCTGGACCCATGTCCCTGGCTTTTGCTGGCCTCCGTTACACATCTGAGCTTGCAGGCTCCGTGGGCCACCCCGGGTCACATTCTGAGAGCAGCATGTCCTCCAAGGGTGTTTCACCTGAACCCGTGAACACTTTCTCAAAACCAGGGATCCCTTTGCATATATTTAAATAGAGATTTAAAGTTTTGCATCATAAATTTATCAAATAATGTAAAATTCACCATATATAAAATGTAGTGTTTCAAAACAACTAAACATCTTCCATTATTTTTAAAAATTAAGCTAAAGGTATCTTGGTACCTTAACAGCTTGACATCTACTCCTGCTATTTTTTTTTTTTTTTTTTTTTTGGTACCGGGGATTGAACTTGTGTCCTTGTGCTTGCAAGGCAGGCGGCAGAACCACTGAGCTAAATCCCCAGACCTACTGCTATTCATTTTTTAAATATATCAACAGAATTTTCTTTTGTTGGAAATTTTACGTCATACTCCTTTCCCTTAAAACTTGTACTGTATTTCCATTCTGTGTCCTCCACAGAGTTTTGTCCTACTCTATTTTATGTTTGAAATTCCTTTCATCTTCACCCACACATACTTATCTCATAGGATGAATGGATGGAATGTTGGTTGGATGGATGGATGGTAGATGGATAGGTGTGTCGGTGGGTGGAAGGATGGATGGCTGGATGGCTGGATAGACGGACAGATTTCCAGGAAGTGGGACCAAGTACCTCTTCCGGTAGCCATTGATACCACTTCTATGCCCTTTCCATCCTACCTAAACCTCATCATCTTTCAACTGGAAGTAATATTGATACTAAAATACTAAAATACATTGATCCAGTGGGTCAGATGCCTTTGGTGGGGAAACGGAGAGAATTTAACGTAAGAATTCCCTTGTCCCAGAGGCGAGCCGGAGTTCTGACACTTGCAGCTAAGGTACTCGCTTTCTGTTTACATCCTGGTCACCAGCTGATGGGTTCTGAGAAGGGACTGAAGGCTCTGACGTCCCAAGTGCTGGGCCCACTGAGTTGCTGGCTGAGGCTGCTGGGAAGGGGAACCGGGTGGGAGAGGTGGTCACCTCAGCAGGCTCAGCTTAGGGGGTGAGTCTTACCAGAAGCCCCCCACCCCAGGCTTCTCTCCCTTCCTGGCTGCCAGGGGGAGCCCCTTTCTTTCATCACACCCGTCGGCCTCCATGTTTCTGCCTTGGAGCAGCAAGCCATGGATTGAAACTTCAGACACCAGGAGACAAAGTAAATCTTTCCTCCCTTTAGTTATCTATCTCAGGTATTTTGTCATCGTGACAAAAAGCTGACTGAAACAGGCTACAGAGTCAGCGAGCCCAGACTGCATTAGCAGGTCTTCTGTGACTGGAGTTCAAGTTTCCTTGTTCATCCAAGATGGCGACTCTGGCTGGCTCGTGTTGGCTCAGGCCTGGCAGCCGTCTGTGGAAAGCACCTGGTGGAGTTTAGGTTCATTAGGTGTTATGATGTGGGTCCGAGGCAGAGCCCCTGGCTACGTGGAGGCCTCAGGGGACACCTCCCAGCTTCACTCGGGTCTCCACCCCTAGACAGGACCAGTGACCCCTTCTCCTGACCAGAGCGCTTGGGGACACGGGGAAAGGGAGATGGAGTACTACTCACAGTTCCTTGGCAGCAGAGCGGCTGTTGTCACTGTTGCTGGATGCCTCTCAAATATTTGGCTCAAGATGTAAAACAAAAATACCTTTCAGAAAATCACTGTACTTATCTGGGCGTGATGGCACAGTCCTGTGATCCCAGCACTTAGGAGGCTGAGGCAGCAGGATTGCCGTGAGTTCAGAGCCCAACCTGGGCTACATAGCAAGACCTTATCTCAAAAAACAAACAAAAAAACTGTAAAATCCCAGTACTTTCTGCAAGGGAGTGAATGCCCTGGATGGAAGGCTGCTCTCCTGGGGCCTCTGCGTCCTGCTTCTCCCCTAGGGGCAGCTCTGTCCCTGGAGCCTTCCGCTCCCTTGCCCCCCTCGTTGTGTTGTTGTGGTTGTTTTGATTTGGACAAGGTCTCCTTACACAGCCCAGCCTGGCCTCAAACTCACGTTGATCCTCCTGCTTTGGCCTCCCAAGTGCTGGGATTACAGCCATGCACCACGAAGCCCGGCTAAATCTGTTTTCAGAAAATGATTTCTACTTTAAAAAACTACTAAAGTCAGTCTAAAGTACAGTTCCATCATTGTTAGGTATTAATACCCTAAATGTATACTTTATTTTTTACTAATCTAGGAAAACCCTGTTCTGGCAGAATGTAACTCACTTCTTTATTATTTTACTGGTACCGTTGGCAGTGCCAGTAGGGGTCTGGACAACCCTGGCCCGCCTGGTTCCCCTCCCTGTTTGTCTCCCAGGCTCTTCCGCCCCGCCCCCAGCCCTGGGGACTCAAGCTCTGCCGTCGCTGTCCCCTCCCGCAGGCGCCGGCCTCAGCTTGAGCGACACCGAGTCGGGCCAGGGCAGCCAGGAGGGCGGCGCGCTGAGCGACTCGCAGATCGTGGAGCTGCGGCGGATCCCCATCGCGGACACGCACCTCTGAGGCCCAGTCCAGACCCGGCGGCCAGCGCTTTCCGGAGCCACCCGGAAGTGGACGGGGCCGAGGGGAAGCCGCGCACACCCCAGCCAGACCCAGGGCCGCTGTAGGACGGCTCACCCCAGGCACCTTAGTGTTTGCTAATCCCCACCCGGCTGTTTAATGAAAGTAATAATCAATAAAAGCAGTGGGACGCATCTGCTGTGACCCAGGCTCGTTATTTAAAACAAACCTTGTGTGTGGGCTAAAAGCAAAGTATACCTAGCTGGGGTCGAGCACCTCGCCGAGGTCTTCTCTCGTTGATGTAAACGATCTGGATCTGACTTCACACAGCTAGAAGATGAAATTTCATTTCTGAAAAGCCGTAAAATTATGGCCAGGGGTGGTAGCCCATGGCTGTAATCCTAGTACTCGGGAGGCCGAGGCAGGAGGATCTCTGAAAGTTCAAGGCCAATCTGGGCTACATAGTGAGTTCAAGGCCAGCCTGAACTACATAGCGAGACCCTGTCTCAAAAACCCAAAGAAAGAAAATTGAACCCACGGTACCAAGATTGACTTTACCTTCCTTAAGTGACAAGTTAGCTGTCTCTCTGAATCTGTAGCATTTCGTGATAGGGGAAATGGCTTATAATACATAAAATGGAAAGTGGAAATTTTGAAACTGCTAAGCGTCCCAAAACTGTTGGTGGATTTCACTGAATTTGGGGTTCAGCTACATTTTGAGAAAGGACCAAAAGGACCGCCTGCCACTTTGCCACACGGTTCTTTTCAGCATTCGGAAGACAAATACTCAGCAGCCACAGCTCCGAGCTCACAGGCCTCAGACCCGGCAGTGGCAGCAGTTCAAGCTGTCAGCCCTAGCGTGCACGGGAGCTGGGCGCTGCAGCAGGAGGCGAATCAAGTCCGGTTCTAGAACCGGCGCTGAGGTCTGGGTCCTCCATGCCGCCGGAGCCTTTCTCTCTGGGTCACCTAGATCCTGTTCTTCTCCACGGCTTTTCTTTGTGGTTTTGAGACAGGGTCTCCGATGTGGCCCAGGCTGGCCTGGAACTCCCCTCCTTCCTCCTGGGCAGGATCAGAGGACGCCGGTGGCCTGGTGGTCATGCATGGCGAAGCCCAGAAGCTGGGGAGGCTGGTGTCTTGGCTGCTAAGATGTGACTGGTAGGTTGGCTTTATTCACACGCAGGTTTTCTCACCTCTGCAAATTTTATCCCGGATAAAAACACATTACAATAGTAAACAGAAACAAATTTACTTTTACAAAAGTTAGAAAATCACAGATGCTTTATTAAACCGCGCATGCAAAAGCTCCGCAGCACTTGCAGGTAAGGCCTGCAGCCTTCCTAGGGAGCACACGGCGCTTTCTTGGGGTCCCTCGATGGAGGTCGTCCTGGACCAGGGTGCACGCGGTACCTGCAGAGCCGCGGCCTCCGCCACCGCGCCTGGCCTTTAGGAGGGAAGCGTGGGACGCTCTTTCCTCCTCCTGTAACACAGAATGCACCCCGTGCTGTGCCCGGGGCCTGGGCTGAGGAGGTGTCCGGGGACGTCGTCCACAGCCCCCAGCGCTGTCACGGTGACCTCAGCCACGGGGGCCACCGAGGGGCCTCCAGTTGGGGCTGAAGCCTGGGAAAACGAGCACTCGCACTCGGGGTCCAGGCAGCGACACCTTCTCCATGCGCCTCTTGGGCGCGTAAACACAAGGAGCCGGTTTCTCTCCAGTGAGCGAGTCCCGTCCCAGCGCAGCACACTGTGCTTGTTCACCTGGGAGGAGCTCAGGCCGCCTTGAATTCATCGTGTAGCCCAGGCTAGCTTCGGACCCCCAGCGATCCTCCTGCCTCAGCCTCCCGAGTGCTAGGATCACAGGTGTGCGTCACCACGCCCGGCAAGAGACACTGTGAATCACTTCACCCACACAGTGACCTGGGGTTCCGGGCGTGACTGTTTATTTCAAAGAGGTGGTGTGCGTGTGCGTGCGTCTGCGTGTGTGCGTACATGTGCGTGCGTGTGCGTGCGTGCGTGCGTGACAATACGGGAAGAGTTCTGGGAACTCAGCAGGAAAAGCAAACAAAGTGGTCGGTGTAATAGTTTCCGTGGCAGCCCGGAGACGGCGGGAGCTGCTGTCCGGTTCGCACGGACCCGGGCCGGCGGGTCCTTCCGCAGGTCCTACCCACAGCCCCCGGCGGAAGCTTCACACCGGAAGCAGAGCTCCGCCTCTAAAGGGTCGCTGTACCCGAGCTTCGCCAGGCCCGGCCGACTGCAGCGCTGATCCATCCTGGAGGCAGAACAGCCCTGCGCAGTTGGTGCCTCCGTGTCGTCTCCTTTCTTCTTTCTTCTTCCGGGCTCTTGCTGTCTCCACCCAGTTTCGAGCGCACAGTGTAGACCCGGCAACCAAAATCCTCAACGCTCCTGCCTCAGCCTCCCGAGGGCAGGGTTTCGGACATGCGCCTCCACGCCTGGCCTTGCCTTTGTCCGTCCCTCTGTCGGCGCACATAGGTGGTTTCTATATCTTGGCTGCTCCAAATGAAGTGTACAAATACAAAAATGGGCCCCGGAAGATCCTGGTTCCACTTCTTTCCATAAATCCCCAGAGGGGGCTCCCTGGTGTCAGGGTTTTGTTGTGGTTGATGCTGTCTTTTCAGACAGGCTCGCTGTGTGGCCCAGGCTGGCCTCGAACTCACAAGGATCCGCCTGCCTCAGCTTCCCGATGCTGGGATTTCAGGCATGCAGCCCCACGCCCGCTGGTGCTGTGGCCCTTCACACAAGTGGCCACCTTGCTTTGGTCGTTTGAGACTTAGCCCAGGAACTGAGTCCAAAGCACAGGCCTCTCGGAAGCTCAGCTTCATTCTATAAGGAACGGTTTTAGTAAAGGCTCGATTTGCATTAAGATGAAGCGCAATCTGTCTGCTCACCAGAAGGAAAAGGAAATATCAAAAAATTAAGGTGAGTGGCACTCAGGCAGCCCTCCTGAGGCCCCCTCGGACGAGGAGGAGGAGGATCTAGCAGGTGATCATTCCATTTCTAAACTACAAACTCCAGCGCCACGGCATGGGTTAGCACCCAGACTAAAGGAGCGATTACAAAATGCCTCCTTTTCTGTTTTCATCCCATTATGCAGAGTTCAAGCTTGATAGTGGCTGGGGGTGGTGGCACACACCTGTGATCCTGGCACACCGGAGGCTGAGGCGGGAGGATCACTGGGAGTTCAAGGCCAGCCTGAACTACATAGCAGACTCTGTCTCAAAAAAATAAAAATAAGGAAACGCTGACAGCAGTTATAAAGAGCTGTCGTTAGTCTGTCCCAGAAGCCTTGGCCTTGGGGTTTCCTCTGTCTTCCTCCCCTTCCCATTTGAGAAAGCTATACACCCCTACTTCCTATCATCTGTCTTTTACTTTGCTCTTTATTTATACTTTGGGTTTCTCATGTAAGAGAAGCCATGCAGTATTGAGGCTTGTGTGTCTGATTTATTTCACTGAGCATTATGGTCTTGCGGTGCATCCATTTTCCTACAAGTGCCTCCAGTTCATCCTTCTTTATGGCACAGTAGTACTCCATGGTGAGCACATACCACATTTTCTTTCTCCATCCATCTGTGGATGGACATGTAGGCCGTTTCCAGGATTTAGCCACTATGAATTGTGCTGCTATAAACTTGGAAACCTCTATGAAAATCAGTATGGAGATTCCTCGAAAAAAGAAAGCTAGAAATTCCATTTGAATTTCTGTTCCTCTTCTAGGTATCTTCTTGAAAGAGTTGTAGACATCATAGTACAATGAATTATTTTGGTAGAAGACAGGCACAGGCCACTCGGGAGTGGGGGTGCTCTCCTCTCTCTCACTCCCCCCCCCCCATGGTGTGAAGTAGTGGTCAGGAGTTACCAAGTGGAAAGTTATCCATTACAAATTCAGTTCAATAATGATTCATTTTATTTGTATGGTATACAGTTTCCTTTGAAAAGTCAGACTGGTAGACTATGCCTGCTGGGAGCTAGGAAATCCTGTGGAGGAAATTACTTTCCTGGATAGGAAACAAAGGAACTTGTAAAAATAAATATGACCAATGATGGACTCAGCTACTAAAGAAAACTACAGTATATAGAACATAGAGTGGGTTTTCATCGTGAGTCTCATTTTTACTTTTTGGTTTTTTGAGACAGGGTCTCACCATGTAGCCCAGGCTGGCCTCGAACTGACATGATCCTCCTGCCTCAGCCTCCTGAGTACTGAGATCACAGGTGTGCGCCACCATACCCAGCTGTGAATCTCATATTAAGAGCAAATAAGGGCTGGAGGTGTAGCTTAGGTAGGAGTCGGGCACTTGCCGACAAGCAAATAATAAAAAAATGAAGTCCTGTTGAGGTTGAGCACTTATGTTTTGAAATGTTACAGGTACAGTTAACTAGGAAGAAAGTAGGAATTGAAAGAGCCTCAAAAATAAAGGAAAAGGGCCAGGGATGTAGCTCAGTGGTGCTGTGTCAGCCTTGCAAGCTTAAGGTCCTGAGTTCGATTCCCGATACTGCAAAAAAAAAAAAAGGAAAAGCATTAAGATGTGTTGTCCCCGCATCAACTCTCCACGATGCATGTCATCATTATGTGCGGCGAACATGGAGTCATATATGGAAAATATTTTAAACCAAAGGATAAACTGGACTTCTTTGGTAATACAAGTATTTAAACCAATGAGTCGAGGACACGGAAGCTAGAAAACACTCGCTACACTCGGGACCCGGCAGAGCCGCCGCTCACTCCGAGGCCGGGCAGCGTCAGAGGCGCCTTTGCTGGCTCCTAGCCGCAGTGCAAGGCCGCGCCCCGTCCTCGGCACCCTCTGCTTGCTTCCTCTCCCGGACAGACGGAGCGCTGAGATCGCCACAGATTGTGGCCGCGGTGAGAAACTCTGCTGAGCACCGCGAGCCTCTAACGCGGACCCTGGGTCCCTTAGAGCCCGTGTCTCCTAAACCCTCAGGGCCCCCGAAGCCATGGAAGCCGAGCGCCTGGGGCCCGGCGGGCAGGCTCGGGGGCCCGGCCGTGTGGCCCTGGAGGGCCTGTGAGCCCCGGGTTCCTGAGACAGGAAACTGCGAAGCAACGCTCACCGCTCCTTGGCATTTTCTCCCCGGAAAAGCCAGAAGCCGCGGGTCCCCGGCGGTCACCGACCCTAGGACGGACTGGGTGGAATCACAGTGGTGCCCGCTGGGCTGCTCAGGC